CTGATGCCCAACAAAAGAGCATTGGTAATTATGTGATGTGATGGGGAAATGCTAACTAACCCTACTGTGGTCATTGTTTTGCCACATATATATGCATATCAAATCATCACCTTGCACACCTTAAACATATACAATTCTATATGTCAGCTATATCTCAGTAAAGGAAGGGGTGTTGGAAGGCTGCTCAACCTGAAGTATTTTTGTTGAATTGTTGCAATAGTTAACATCAATCAAAGGCTGCATAAATGCCAGGTACTGGACAGGTGGCTTTTTTGACACTGTTACATTTTTAAAAAACTTTCTGAAAAATGTTTATTTATTTTGTGAGGGGGGAGGCACAGAGAGTGGGGGATACAGAGGATCTGAAGAAAGCTCCTTGTTGACAGCAGAGAGCCCGATACGGGGCTGGAGCTCGCAAACCCTGAGATCATGACCTGAGCTGAAGCTGGATGCTCAACCGGCTGAGCCACCCAGGAGCCCCCTGGCATTGTTACATTTGAAGAGTAATTTTTGTGCATCTGCTGTGTCACCCTGGCTACAAGCCACATCAAGAGGGGTGTGGTGTTACATAACCATCAAGGGAGCAGATGGCTTTGCCCAGATATGTTTCTGGATTTGAGATATTTGAGATCCTTTAGAGGGAACTTGCACCATACAGACAAGCATCTACGTGCTGTTTATATAATATTTGCATGTAAACTCTTTGTTCGTGGTGAAAAATGATCAGTTTGATACTTCCCATATTCTAAAAAAATCTCTCCAGACAAATACGCAGTTTTCAAGGCAAAAGAGAGTCTTTCCATCTGTTATAGCTATTTATTTGAAAGAGGATTCACATTTTAAATGCCCCATATCCACCCATCTCCATCAAGTATCTCCTTTTGCAAAGTTTTGGTCTTTAGGGAATTCCTTTGTGTCATTTTCCAATGCAGTTGAACTTAATTGCTGTGTGATTTATTAGGTGGACATGGTCTTCAACTACTTGTCTGGGATGAGAGTCCATCCCTTTCAGTAACGTGAGGGCAGGGAAATGAGCAATGCCCTCCTGGTAGGCTAGAAAGCATAAGGCAGGAGATAGAGGTGGAATATTCGATGTCCCACTAACGTGGTTCACTAACCATGGTGATGATGGTGTTCACAGTAAAATCACGATGATGGTGGAGGTGGTCGTGATAGCGGCCAACATGCATGGAGTGTCTCAGAAACACGGAGAATTGGTTTGCTTAACTATCTTTTTAATCCTAACAGCAACCAAATGAACTTGGTCCCAATGTATGCATGTATAGAGGATAAAACTGAACCTTAGCATTTGTGTCCACCTGTTCTTTTTTAACACTAAATTTTTTTTTAATGTTTATTTAATTTTGAGAGAGAGATAGGGCATGAGCAGGGGAGGGGCAGAGAGAGACACACACACAGAATCAGAAGCAGGCTCCAGGCTCTGAGCTAGCTGTCAGCACAGAGCCTGACGCAGGGCTCGAACCCACGAACCGTGAGATCATGACCTGAGCCGAAGTCGGATGTTTAACCGGTTGAGCCACCCAGGTGTCCCCTGTGTCTACTTGCTCTTGCTCACACTGTCAGTTACCAGACAAGCTGAGATTTAAACCGAGTTCAATCTAATTCCAGATCTTTGGTTCTTAGCTTCTAAATAGAACTCATTTGGGCCACCTGGGTGGCTTGGTCAGTTGAGCATTCAACTCTTGATTTTGGTTCAGGTCATTATCTTATGGTTTATGATTTCAAGTCCCAGGTCAGAGACTGCTTGGGATTCTCTATCTCCCTCTCTGTCTGCTCACTTCTATCCCCCACACTATCTCTCTTTCTTTCTCTTTTAAATAAATAAACATTAAAAAAAATCAGAACTCACTATTAAAAAAATAAATGGAACTCATTTAAGACCTTGGCATTACGATTCCTTTCTAAGAGATGGGGTGAGTCTGCTACCATATCTTTAATTCTATTATGATTTGAATGGAGCTATAATTTATTATTTAAACAGTATCAAACAATAAATAGAAAATTCTCTCAAAGTCAAACAATTGGGAAAAAAAAGTAAGGTTACATAAAAGTCACAAACATTTGGCAGGTGAGCATTCAGTCTGTGTGTGGGAAGGCAGTGTGATGCAGAGGAAGGAACTTGGGTTTGAAATTGGCCGGCTATGTGATCTCGGCCAGTCACTTACCTTCTCTGAACTCAGTTTATATCCCTATAAGATGGGGCTAAAATATACCCACTATGAAGGGATGCTGAAATCTTTGTAGATCATAAATTACAAATCTGTATAGTGCCTGGCAAAGAAAGTACATTACTGCTACTCAATAGAAGATCATTTTACTTTCCTGCTTACAAACCACCAGTTCCAATCAAGCTTTTGGGATAAAACTCTAACTCCTTAACTCAGCCTAAAGGCCCTTGACCCTTGCCGTGTAACCAGCTTCATCTTTAGACATTCTCCCTCTCATTGGGCTCAGATGGGCCGAGCATTCCTTTTCCACCCCAGGACCTTTGAATATGCTGTGTCCTTGGCTGAACATACTCTTGCATCTCTTTATTAACTCACTACTCCCTTGTGCTTTAGGTCTAAGCTCAATCATCACTTCCCCAGGGAAATCAGCCTGAACCCTAGAAAACATCAGTCCCCTTCTAATCTATCTCCAGTGCTCCTTCTTCTTTGGGGTACCCCTCACTATGGTAAGTAAGTACTTAATTCATCTGTCTTGTCACTAGGATGTGACCTCCAGGAGGGCAGGGGCTGCATTGCCCCATGTTCATGTTCAATCCCCAGTTCCTCACATGGGGCCTCATTCACAAGAGGTGCTTGACAAGCATTTGTTGAATAAATGAAAAGAAAATACGGGCGCCTGGGTGGCTCAGTCAGTTTAGTGACCGACTTTGGCTCAGGTCATAATCTCGCAGTTTGTGAGTTCGAGCCCCACATTGGGCTCTGTCCTGACAGCTCAGAGCCAGGAGCCTGCTTCCGATTCTGTGTCTCCCTCTTTCTCTGCCCCTTCTCCACTCATTCTCTCGCTCTCTAAAAAAGAAATAAACATTAAAAAAAGAATAAATCAGTGGATGAATAAGGATTATCTTATTTCCAAGATGCTCCTTGATGTTTTCTGATCCGTTTTTGTTAAAAGAAGACCATAGGGTGTAAGCCGTGGAAGCTTCTAACAAAGGCACAGGTTTTTGCCCAAAGTGGTGTCTTTTTCACTCTTGAGGAGAGCAAGACTTCCTTGGGGACCATTTGTTACCTGTGGCACACCAGGCACCTCATGTCCCAAATAAGCTACATTCGGTCTGACCAGAGCGATATACTGGACGAAAGAAACATACCACCCCTCTGAAATAGACGCTTTGTTTTATGATGGAGGTAGATGGGCTGGAGCCAGCAGGTGCGGGCTGGGCTGACATGGGTTCTGTGGAGAATCATTAGAGCCTCTTTAGAGATGCGGATTTACTCTGCGTTTAATCAGCCACAGGCAGAAGAAATGGCTTCATTTCAGCTCGACAAGAGCCAGATCACAAAAGGAAGATAGATGGCTAATACGGTTCATCACTACAAGCATATTGTCCTAATTTGAAGGAACAGCCTGGCACCCAGGCTAATCAAGTAGGAGAGTGCAATATGGCTAGCGAGGAGGGCAAGCTAGCTTAACTCTCAGCGTGCCCCTTAAGGAAAAGTGTTACATGTTTTCCTAATTAATATTTTAAGGGAAGTGGGAACTATAAAACACATCCCTCAGTCACTTAAGAAACTCCCTTGCTTGGAATTCAAGATGCTTAAGGAACGATTTTTCCCTTTCCTGAAATGTCTGAAGCTCTCTCCCTATCAAATAGCACTGCAGGTGCTCCTGAGGGGTCTCTGTCAGTTAAGCGTCCAACTCTTGGTTTGGGCTCAGGTCGTGATCTCAAGGTTCATGAGTTTGAGCCCCACGTCGGGCTCTGCGCTGACAGTGCAGAACCTGCTTGAGATTCTATCTCCCTTTCTCTCTGCCCCTCCCCTGCTCTCTTTCTCTCTCTCTCTCTCAAAATAAATAAGTAAAAGCTTATTAAAAAAAAAGTACTGCAGCCAATGAACGAGGTGCCTTAGGAAGGGCAATTTGCTGGCTGTGTGTAACACATGGTTATGTGTGCAATTCATCTGGAAATAGAGGCAAATAGAGACAGTGCTGTGTCTGTGCATGTGGATACCCTCTGGTCCCTTGTAGTCTGTTGTTACCATTCCCCTGCTTGCCTTTCGTACTCCAGAGCCCCTGCTGGGGAGGACGTACAGTGGTTATTCCATTTAGCTGAAGTTAGCATGTCGATTGCTTAAGAAATTCCAACGAAGGGATTTTTAAGCCTGTGTGGGAGGAATGACACAGATCTGAACTCTGTGTCCTTGCCAGACCCCTCGAATGTGAAGCAAAAGCAGATAACGAGAGTCACTGGGGTACTTTCAAACAAGTGGATGTTTTAGAATCATTTGGTGTGTGTCACATCCATGTTTTCATTCTATTCCCTGAGCCGGAGCACAGAGCTTTTACAGCCCTCCCCACCCCAATGACTATTTTCCAGATGTTCTAAAACAACATCAAGTGACCCAGTTTACCCTTGAGAGGTTTATAAAGGTGCATTTATGGAGCACCAGGCTGAGTGAGGCTGAGATGCTCGCTTGGCAGCTTAGTCCTAGATAATCTCCCATGAACGTGGTATCAAATCTTACTTTACCTAAGGCACACAGAGTATGGTTTTTAGAAAAAGATATGCTAAGTACTCCCAAAGTGAAGAAGAAACATAAGAAGCTTAGCAATGGATGTAGAAATATTATCATCAGCTATCGGGGTAATAGTAGCCAGTCATTCCTCACCTAAAGGCACAGATTTCGGCTTAGGCAGATCAAGACAGAGCAGTGGAAGTATGTGATCTAAGTGCATTTAAATATCAGTGAGATGAGGCGAAGGACCTTGTTAACAAAAAACCTGAACACATGTCATTTGCTTTCCATGCTGCACAGGATGAAAAGGAAATCACTACGGCAGAAATGAAAGGAGGCACATTGGGGTCTTGTAGGCCATATTGCCGGAACAAGAGGAGTCATCACTTATGGACGAGACGTTGTTTCATCCCTAGGACATGGGCAGCAGTTTCTAGAGCAGTCGGAACCCAGCTCTTTGCCTACATAGCAGAGGTGAGTCGTTTCTCAAGGAGAAACAATATGTTGTCTTCTATTCAGTCGTACGAAAGGAGCCACCAGCGGGCGTTGGGCCCCATGTCAAAAATCTGGTGAGAAGGTGGGATAGTTCTTCCCCAGCACATATGCTACGTGCGTGTAGATGGCATTCAGTGGGAATGGGTCCCTTCAACTCCCAAAGTAAGCAACACACCAAGGGCTTGATGTGGAAAGTGCTTAATGCTCTATAGGATGCCAATCACCTACTGGCTGGGAATGTAGAATGAACAACCTTTCTGGCCTGACTTCTTCTTCTTTTTTTTTTTTTTTTTTTTAGTTTATTTATTTTTGAGAGAGAGAGAGACAGAATGCAAGTAGGGGAGGGGCAGAGAGAGAGAGAGAGTGAGAGGGACATAGAATCCAAAGCAGGCTCAAGGCTCTGAGCTGTCAGCACAGAGCTGGACGCGGGGCTTGAACTCACAAGCCATGAGATTGTGACCTGAGCTGAAGTAGGACACTCAACTGACTGAGCCACCCAGGTGCCCTGGCCTGGCTTCTGTTATCACTGGTGCCAGACTCGACGCAGTCATCTTGCTGAGGTTCTTTACAGATGACAGGGAGAGTGAGCCTGTGTAGGAGGCTCCTACTCTCTGCAGATCTTGGAATGCCTGCTGTTCTGCACCAGTTCACACCTTAAGAGCCGAGACATGCCACCAACTAACAGATGATGGTCCTTTCGCCGAGTTCAGAAATGGATGCCCCTTCATCCAAGGAGAATCTGGGGAGCCCTGGCCAGCACTCAACATGCTTGTCTTGCACAAACTCTGGTAAAGAAGTATAATTCCAGCTTTCGTGTGGACGTAGATGCCCACTCGAGATAAGATAAACTACCCTTTGCTTTGGAAATGTGTAGTGTGGGACACCAAAGGCTGATCGTCTCAAGGGCATTGGCATTGCTGGTGCTTCTGGATTTCTGCGACGGATCTGCTCATAGTTAGAAACATCAGTTACATTACCCTTATCTTAACATCCTTAAGCATCAGTGTTGTTACTGGTCATCAAATTAGCTGCTTCCTCTGATTTCGAATCCACTGACAGTTTTGGGTGGTTTGAATTGAGTGGGGTGGACAAGGGGAAATTGGCGATTTCCTCTGCCTCTTACAGAGTTAATCTCCCATCCAGATACTGCTAAAACATCTCTTTCAACAGACGTCTTTCTTCCTAGTTTAGCAGCATTACTGTACAGAGCAAGTTTCGCCTTTACATTGCTCCAACTCAAAGTCCGAATGATAGATGATTTCCTGATCCTGAAGAAGACACTTAAACACTTAGGTTTCTTTCCACAGTTTATTCCAGTTTGAACAGGACAGTCTATTTCCCATTTTAGCTTGGAGAAAGGAGGTTATGTATGTGCAAACAAAATGTCTGGCATCTCTTCGAGGGTTGGGTGAATAGAAGGACCCAGAAAGTATGTTGCCAGCCAGAAATATTACTTTCTTATGTCCACTATTCGATACCTGGGCATTTCTCTCCTGTCTGCATACGTTTCCTCTGCTCTTTTTTTTTTTCTTTTCAGTGTTTAAATTTTTTTTTAACGTTAATTTATTTTTTAAGAGAGAAAGCATGATCGCGGAAGGGGCAGAGAGAGAGGGAGACAGAAGATCCAAAGCGGGCTCTGCACTAACAGCTGAAAGACTGATGTGGAGCTCAGACTCACAAACTATGAGATCATGACCTGAGCCACAGTTGGATGCTTAACCAACTGAGCCACCCAGGAGCCCCTCGTTTCCTCTGTTCTTAAAAGTGCTGTCTGGGTCTGTGGAGCGAACAAACTTTCTTACCATGGAGCTTCGGATATTTTCTTAGTCTCTTTACCCCGGTAGCCCAAATAAAGGACACTTCTAGTTTTAATCTTTGCATTGATTTCTTATGCATCAACCCCTTCGCTCCCCGACATCTCCACCCAGTGTGCCCACCGAGTAGCTATTTGGGCTGCTCACGCAGTCAAGCCCACCCAAATCTATTCCCACAAATGCTTTACTTTCGCCTAGTAAAACATTTGTTACAACGAACGTGTTCTGCCCTGTGAGCTACGTCTGAACTGCCAAACTGTCACTTTCCTGGCAATTATTCCCATGAGGAAACATTTGCAACCATCTTCAAAAAGGAGTCCTCCTTCCTTACTCCAACCAAAATACTGCAAAGTTAACACACGTGTTTCTAAAATCCTTTTTTCCTGGGGTGCCTGGATGGCTCAGTTGGTTAAGCGTCCGACTCTTGATTTGGGCTCAGGTCATGATCTCATGGCTTGTGAGTTCGAGCCCTGTGTCCGGCTCTGAGCTGACCACGCAGAGCCTGGTTGGGATTCATTCTCTCTCCCTCTCCCTCTCTGCCCCTCCCTTGCTCTTGTTCTCTCTGTCTCTCTCAAAAAAAATCAATAACCTTAAAAAAATCCTTTTTCCTTTGTAAAACTCATCTCTATTCTTCCTTCCTGATCATCAGGGAGAGGTATATATGCCCACACTCTCTTCCCAGGGGTAAAGCATTATATAATTCACTGCGTATACTTGGCCCACACAGACTCAAAGGGACTATAACGCATTTGAGTATAGGAGTGATTTTAACAATCTTGTGACAAGTCTTCCAACTGGCAGGTCTTTGGGTGAAGCTAAGAGCTACTCCTTCCATGGGTGCCTCTCAAGGAAGCAGCAAGAATGAGAAGCAAATGCTCTCACGTGCATAGCATGAACCGGGAGTCCAAGTGTCCAGAATCTTCCCCAGTAAGGAAACTTCCCAAAAGCTGAGCCACATTAAGTCTAAAGCAGAATCCCTGTCACTCAGAAAACTTCTACCAGCTTTCTTCTGCACTGCCTGAGCATAAGCGTCATCTGGGTAACATGTTATGGGAAAATTTATGCCTCATCACAAAGAAACAGCTGTGTCTTGCCACAGTCACTAACTTTTGAAAGATGTTAAAGGAAGGTATTCATTTCAAGCCGGTTGCTTCAGCTACAGCCTCCCCTTCATGTTTTAATATCATGGCGTCGCCTTCTGGTCCCCTAAGTGTTACCTGGTTTCTCTGTAGGAGTGGAGGAAACCAGGACCCGTAATTTATGGCTCCTATTAAGAGGGTTGGCTGGATGTGTGGACAATATGTCAATAATTATTTCTGGTGGGGCCTTAACAGCAGAGGAAGTGCCTCTGTAGAATGGCTTATTTTAACAGAAGACAGACATGCCTGACCTGGGCTTTATGACAGATGTCAAATATATCGAAGTGTGTTGTGAAGCAGATCGTCTTATTGGCAAAGAAATGAAAGACCACCAGGAAGATGGATGGGAAGCTTTCCTCAAGGGGTTTCCTGTCTCCTTGCCCAGGTATGGCCGTGAACTAGAAGAAAGGCCAACTGGCAGGCAAGAGGGGAGACTTCAGTGAGCAGTCTGAACTTGCGTCTGTTGGTGAGACTTGAGAACAAAAGTCCCCGATCCCTTAGAGTGATGTTGGGGGAGAGAGTTGTGGATGGGGGGGATAGGGTGGGCACTACAGAGATATGAAAGAGCGCCCCCCCCAAGAGCGAGCACCTTCTGACATGTGATGCCCCTAGGCGCCTCCCAGACCTGCTCAAAAGATCTTGTTTCTCCAGCCTTCTGTCTTGAGTTGAGTTCAACAAAGACATCTAGGGAGCCCACCATGTGCCAAGAGTTGTGCCCGGCATTAGGGATACGGCTAAGTACCACACGTTCCAATCAGAGACCCTCCACTTTCCTTCTTCTGAGTCCTTCTCCCTTGGGAAGAAATGGGATCTTAGGGTCCCTTACTAGCTTCTGGGTAGTAGGGCGTGAGTTGACTCACTGGGAAATAAGCCTCATAGGATTAAGAGGATTGAACACGACAGTGTCTTTGTGCTTGTCCCGAAGACTAGATATAGGAACTATGAAGTGAAAGCAATGGCCTTTCCACTATTTACCTTTTATCCATAAAGACTGTCTTTTCGGAAATTTATATCATCTGCCACCAAATTAACTCTATTAGATCACAAACTTCCTATATCCCTAAGCCCTGAGGTCCCTGAATTAAATATGATTATGAGGAAAATGTGCCCCTTGAGACGAATGAACGACAAAAAGGCCATCTTTCTTCCAGGTGGGTGTATCCAACCCCAGGTGCTGGACTTGGTGGCAGCTGGATCTCACTTCACACAGTGCTGGGCACAACGTGCATCCTCGGTAAGTGTTCTCAATTCGATTTATTGTAGCCATTGCTCTCCTAGAATGAAAGCCTTCTATTTTCAAAGACGTGATTTCAGTCATTGGCAAGATATAATGGATATATTATACATAAAATGTAAAAAAGCCACTCCAAGAGTATCCTTTTTTCTTCTTAAAATGTTTCTTCCTCAGAGTCTACTTAAAAAAAATTAATGTTTATTTAGTTTTGAGAGAGAGAGTGAGAGAGAGCAAGCATGAATAGGGGAGGGGCAGCGAGAGAGAGGGAGACACAGAATCCGAAGCAGGCTCCAGGCTCTGAGCTGTCAGCACAGAGCCCAATGCAGGGCTTGAACCCACAGACTGCGAGATCATGACTTGAGCTGAAGTCAGTTGCTTAACCAACTGAGCCACCTAGGCGCCCCCTCAGAGTCCATCTTGAGAAAGAATAGAATACAGTAAAACCGTGTTCTGTGAGTGTTCTGCAAGACGGGAAAACATTTCTAGTAAATTTAACTTGATAAACAAGCACTGTCTCGTAATACGAGTAGTACGTGATGCCGAATGTCATGTGACTGCAACTGAGCCAATGGCTCTTGAAATTTGCTTTGTCACATGAATGCTTTGGCTTCTGAGCATGTTTCCAGAATGAACTATGCCCACAAACCAAGATTTTACTTTATTTCATTCTTTCTGGGTTTGCTGGACATACACTGTTACAGGTGGTCTCTTGGTGACCATGAATGACAGGGGATTAGCAGTAGCATGCATTAGGGAAAAGCATGGATCTAGAGTAACAAGAATTATTAAGAAAGGGTATGAATGTCTTTACACCCATGGGATTCCCCACCGTGAGATAAGGGGGATGAAAAAGAGAAATTGAGAATGACTTGCAGGGAAAGTTAGTTGTGATATAGAGATATAGATATATAGAGATATAGGTTGGCTTAACTACTTTTCTTGGCACAAATTCTATAAGGATGGGTCGGATGCTAAAAGTAAAATCTGTAATAGACAGAAGGGCTACATAGACTTCTGTTTTGCATTTTTATCTTGTCCTGTTTTGTCATCTATTTTGTCCTGTAGCGACACAAGGAACAAGGCTAAGAAAGTAGACCTTCTTCATTGGGCATGTTTCCCCCTTCATCACCTGGGCTTTTGCCCACGACTATCTACAAACAAGAGATTCCGTCAGAGCAGAAGTGGGATCAGACTATTTTCATAAGTTTCAACCTCCAAGCCAGTCGCCAAGGGGGTTAAATGCTTTCTCTATGGAGCAGGAAAGGCAAGTCTCCCTTGAAGGAAAAAGCAAGATCGTTTCACGTGAAAGACAGGAACAGGGTAAGAACTGAACCCAAAAAGGAATCACTCTGTATATGAGACACTTGCCTTTCGTGAGGTACTAAGGACAGCTTTGTGGCTCCTAAGGACAGAGAGGAGTCACTGTAGAAGTCTATCTCTTAGTCAGGCTTGAAGTATCAAAGGAAAAATTATCTTTCTAGTTTGAATCTCGAAAATTTAGGACCCGTCAATGAAAGGAGGAGCAAATGGCTTTTCAACCACAAGAGAATTCTGCTGATTCATATTCTTTTCTTGTCTTTATTCTGATGCCCCCCCCCTGCTCTTTTTATTTCCCTCTGAATTTGTATTAAATTCGTTACATGCTCTTAAGGGAGAGGGGTCTAATTGAGGTGTAAGATGCGATGAATAAAAAAGAAAAATAGGGAGGGGGGTAGGAAGTCACTGTCGCTTCACTGAACTAGACTGTAGCTCATGTTAAGTGCCATTCCCTCTTTCAGAGAAAAAGATAGCCTTCTCCTCCAGGAAGCTCTGTGTCTCAAAGGCCTTTATTAACGTGATCTTTGGGAATAGTGTTTTAATTTTTTTCCATAATCATCATGCAAATTGATCATGATAATCTCTGGAAATGAAAAGGAGGGAACCAATGGCCTCATTAACTCCAACACTGGGAGCACGCACACTCCTACGAGCCGGGGCCACGATCCCCCCAGTGGCTCAGGTCTTCTATGTGTGTGACTTGGTCCAGTCCCCAATGCAGGCTGTGGCTTGTTCCCTGCCTCACTTGTTTAAATTGCTTCATGCATCTGACTCCATCACAAAATAATGGGACATCATTTGAAAGGTCCCAACCTTACGATAGAAACATTTATGTTCTGCGAGATTCCAACCAGAATTCTAACTCTCCTATGACAGAACCACGCCATCCATGCACGGGTTGTATCTGGACCTTATCTTAAAGACACTGTGGGCTCAAATTTCTAAACTTTGGACAATCAATTGAGCCAGCACCAAAATGTGTGGCTTCAGATGCATACTTCTGAGTGCTGTTCTGCTGAATTAAGAGGGCTTTTTCTTTTCTTTTTTTTTAAGAGTATATTTTAATTTTAATTTAACATGGAGAATGACAGAGACAAATAGATCTGTCCCTAGTACACTGAGTAACAGAGTTTTGAGCTGGTTATTAATTTCATGTAAGTGGATCCTCTTTTTATTTCTATAAACTGCAAAATCCAGGAAAAGCAGAATCAAATATGATATATGCTTATTGATTGCCCCGTATGTGCCGAGCAAGGTTAAATGGTTTCAAATGCCGACTCATCTGACAGATGAGGATAAGGCTGGGTGAAGAAGTGAAATAACATGTCCAGCTGGGAAGGGGCAGAGTCATTGACAGATCTGCCTCATCGTCTAAAAGGATTTGATGCAACTCTTTGGAAATCCACTTCCTCAGAGCCATGCAGAGCCAGATTGTTTCTCAGTGGATCGTGTCCTGCCAGTGAGCAGTAAGGAAGTTACCCTAACTCTTGGAGCCTTTGGGTACCATATACTTCTGGGCAAGGACGTGCATTCCATGGGCATCCAACACTGTGCCTTGTGCACACCGGTGCCTTCCACTGATTAGTGATATCTAGGGCTGAGCAGTATATCTCTTCCTCTTTTGGAGAAGGCTGTCCTCTCCTAGTGAGGTACAGATGCAGAGGTTGCTCAGGAGGTTGGGCGCATGGGGGAATAACCACACAGCTAGGTAGATGAGATGACCGAATCTAGCCACTTGAGTTAGAGCAGGGCCTTTGGTACCTCTCCTGTGGGAGATAAAATCCCTTTATCTCAGCTGTAACCCCTCCAGACTGAGTGTTCTTTCAAGTTGATTTGACTGGTCTTGAGAAATTTTATGACAAATATGCATTGACGCCTGCTATCTCTAAGGTATTGAATTAGAATACAGTGAAATATACCTGCAATCAACATTTGGTGAGTTTCTATGATATGTTAGATTCTCTGGAAGCAAATTTTAAAGGGCCTAAGAAAAGGTGAGCCTGTGAATGAATGCATGCAGTATTAGAACGAAGATTCATAGAGGAACAGCACGGAAGAATGACTTGAGCAGAGTGTTAAGAGAAGTGCTAACATTTGAGCTGGGTCTTGAAGTTGTTGGTAAGAGGTCTTTAGATGGAAAAATTGGAGGAAATACATTTTGTTTTGTAGGGGCTTCATGTTTAACTTGACAAAATGAGGGTGTGATTGCCTCAGGAATGGCCCTGAACGTAATTGGTTGAGGAAGGTGGTGAATAATGGAGATGAGCTGGCGCCACAGTGAATTTATGTGGTAAGATGGTATTTTCTCAAGCTATGCTTAGAACACTGGTTCCTTGATATGTTAATTGGCATTGTCTATGAAAACAGGGGGGTTTAAGGCCAAAAAAAATGTAGGGAACACTGGAGTAGGCTGTTGGTTGGGGTTCTTTCCTGCAGGACTTCTCAGGGCTTTTGATATATGATTCTGCCTTATACATTTCCAAGAGCTTGTCTTAAACCTATTTTTGTCTTTCCCTATTCGCATTGCTTTCAGGGTACCATGGATCTCACAGTGGCAAATACTTTTTTAAGGCAGGAGCAGCTGTCAGCAGTCTTCAAGAAATGAATGGCTTCTGTTTTAGAAACTTGGGGCACCCGGGAAGGTGACCTGTAACCAAGTCGTTAAAATCTTCTGGGCAAAAGAAAATAAGGGTCAGAATCAAGGCACTGAAGTTGTAAAGGAGGGAATGGAATTGAAAGGCAGTTAGCAGGTGGAATGGATACTCTGTGACCAAATGGGGGCGAATGAAGAAACGTACTTGAGGGTTACTCCCTGGGATCTAGTGGGTAAGCTCAGGCAATGAAGAGAGAGTTTGAGTAGAAGATGAAAAAGTCGATTCATTTTGGGATGGGATATAATTGTGGTTTCTCTAAGACCAACAGAGAGCATTTATGAACTCATTCAAGAGCTGGAGATATTAATCTGGAGCTGAAGATGTACACAGACATAATTTTATCTATGATGCTTTGGATGATTATTATCTAGCCATGTCTTTAGGGGTCACCGTAATTAACATTAAGTGTTGCTTGACCATAAATGTATAGAAATGCAGGTTGTAGAGGGCTGTGTTTAATAGAAACCCAACAACAAGCCATTAACTAGATTTACTAATAGGCACCTTGTCTAGGAACAGAGCATAGGGAAAAACAAGCAAGCAAACAAACAAACAAACAAACAAATATATAAATAAATATGTAAAGAAAAAAAAGAAAAAGAAAGACAATCTTTGTTCAAGGAGCTTATTATCTTTAGCCTTTAGAAGATATGACAAGTGGCCAGATTACCGTGTTAGGATCATGGACCTTGCACTTGGTATATAACCTTGGGCAAGTTAGATAATGTTTTATTTATTTATTTTTAATTTTTTAATGTTTTATTTTTTTCTGAGAGAGAGAGAGGGTCAGAGAGAGAGAGAGAAATACAGAATCTGAAGCAGGCTCCGGGATCTGAACTAACTGTCAGCACAGAGCCCAACACGGGGCTCGAACCCAGGAACTGTGAGATCATGACTGGAGACAAAGTCGGACGCTCAACCGACTGAGCCACCCAGGCGCCCCTAGATAATGTTTTAAAGCTTGGATTTGTTCACTTGTCAAATCATCTTTGTAGAATATGAGTATCTTCCTCATGAAAGAGTTGTGAGGATTAGCTACGGTTCAACAAAAATGGATTTCCTGTATTTTGATTGTATAAAATACATTTCTTTAGGAAATAATGTATGCATTGTGATCTATTTAATAAATTTTATTATTACTTTATTTGATTTCCAGTTAATGCCAAATAATAACCTGTCTATTTGAATTGCAAAAATCAAGCTGGTTTGAATTAAAGAAGTGTGAAAAATTCTTGGGTTGGCAAACTACATAACACTTCCATCAATTAAAAATAGGTAGAATGTGTTAGAAATAATGAAAAGTTCACACTTTAATTGAACTGGCTTTTTCATGAGCCTATATTTTTATGTGGCTTAATGAAACAAAAATTGAAATAGCGCCCATTATGAGATCTGTGTTAATTGTTATTATTTCCAGAAAGTTCACATGATCACAAAAAGTTTTGCTGCCACGCCAAGTTGAAATGCACATACAGTACCTGCCTTTCATTTTTCTCTGGGTTTATTTTTGGTAATAAAGACCAATATTCATTTTGGCAAACAGAGCATTCTCTAAATTGAAAACTTCCTTTAAACACGCTAGAAACTTTTGACACAAGATTGCCAAAATTGCAGGGTATTTTTCTCAGTCTGACAAAACTGTCTTTGTTCTTCCTGGCTCCATCAAAAGCAAGACTGTTTCTCTACTTACTGTTATTTCAGTACCATCATAATTTTAAATATCTTTGTGCTAGCAGGCACTGCCACATTAATTAACAATATAGTCTAATTATTTACCCTCGTTGGTTCATACAAACCCCTACAGTATAATCATTAGACTCCCTGAAGGGGTTTCACGGTATTTTGGAGTGAAATAGGAAGGTTTGTTCCTGACTTACACTGGCTCACATGTGTAATTAGGTCATCACCTCCAATTCACCGATAGGTCACTAGATCCAATATTGCTTATCTGGGCAATGTCCAAAGATAGGTGTTGATGCTGACTGACCCTGGTTGGGCAGCACACATAAATGAATGGGGCTTTTAATTTACCTCCTGGCATCTCGGAGAACATTCCCGGGGTTTCTGGAGACAAAGGGAAAACAGAGGGTGGCCAAATCGGTCATTCATTTTAAATTCTTTTTTTAAAGTTTTATTTATTTCTGAGAGAGAGAGAGAGTGTGAGCAGGGAAGGGTCAGAGAGAGAGTGAGACACAGAATCTGAAACAGTCTCCAGGCTCTGAGCTGTCAGCACAGAGCCCGACGTGGGGCTCGAACCCATGAACCAGGAGATCATGACAGGAGCGGAAGTCAGATACCTAACTGACTAAGCCTCCCACCCAGGCGCCCTTATCTGGCATTTTGTAATGAGGAAAGCGTTTTTTCCAGAAGGAGATGCAAAGCATCCATTGGTCTCCGCAGATATGTCTTATGCCACAAAACTTACTTTGTGGCATAAAATGCCCCGATGTTACCTGACCCCCACCCCTTAAACTTCGAATCAGTATCTAAGAGCCCTCCTCAATTTGAAACCTTGGATTGGCTGGTCAGAGCAAGAGGTGAACAGCTCAGGCAGTCACCAGAAGTTGTAAAAAGGGTTTGGTCAGGGGGCAACAGTAATAAGGATAAAATAATACTTGATTAATGACACTAAAACTCATTCCAACTCAGGATAGCTTGAACTGTCCGCTTGTTGAGAGTATGGGAGATGGGAAGAAAAATCTAGTTTGAGCTAAATCTGGAAGACTTGGAGTATCTCGAATGTTCTTCTGAAACATAGAAAACAAACGGTGTGGTTTAGCCTACATAAGCAACCCAATAAAGAAGGTTCCTCGGGAGGGTGAAGCGGGGCTGGGGCGGGGGTGGGGGCAGGTGCCTGCTGTGACTGTCTTGATTGAAACTCCCCCTGACATTTTGGTCAAGGAAAGGTAAGGATTCAGAAGAGAAATGGCGCTGTTTCATAATTCAACAAGTGTCAGCAGCCAGGAAGGGAAATCAAGACGGTTTTAAAGGTGTGTGGGCAGAAGATGGTAGATGATGCCTCCTGAGGGGCGATTGGTGGACAGGAAAAGGGCTAAAGCAATCAAGGATTGCGGTGTTTGGGTTTCTGCCTGCGGAGAAATGACAAATACAGTCCTTGCCAGTGGAGGCTCTGACTCACAGAAACATGAGAGGTCACGTGAGATACAAAGTCAAATACAAAGAGTTATATATACACTCGAGAGGTTTTATTTTATAACGTGTTAATCTGGATATTGGGGGGCTTGGTCTGGAAGCTGGTTGAATCCGCTGGAAGGTATTTCCAAACACAGCACATGTATTCTGGTCGGTCAGCTGTCCATCCATCTACTCACTTAACAGAATTTATGGAGCCCCTACTATGTGCTGGTCACCGAGATGGGTAAAAATAGATGTGCTTCTGACCTCGCAGGGCTGACGATCAAACGAAGGGTTCGGGAAGGGAAGGCACTGGGCTGTCCCATTGGGAATTTGGGCAAAGGCGGGAACAGTATGAGGCATGGAGGAGAGGCAGAAAGGCCCTTGTTGGCCAGGGGCAATATTTTATTTTGGATATTAAGAGAAATTAGGAGCTTTAATGAAGGGTTTTATTTTTTACTTATTTTTAATTTTTTAATGTTTATTTATTATTGACAAAGATAGAGCATGAGCAGGGGAGGGACAGAGAGAGGGGGAGACACAGAATCCAAAGCAGGCTCCAGGCTCCTAGCTGTCAGCACAGAACCTGACGCAGGGCTCGAACTCACAAAGTGTGAGATCATGACCTGAGCGGAAGTCAAATGCTTAACCGACTGAGCCACTCAGGCATCCCTAATGAAGGGTTTTAAAGTAATGATATGACCAGATTAGCTTCTACAGGTTCTCTGTCACCCTCCTGACAGCGTTCTCTAAATGCCCCATTTCTCTCCATCACCCATGGCCATGGGTTTTCGAACAATCTCTGGAAATGGATGAGGATATAAGGGGGCATTTGTGATAAGAAACTGGAGTAATGGAAATGGATCAAGAGATGATTTCCTTGAGTTTGGACCCTCATGACCTCACAACCGGACCACACAGTCGGTCTCTTTGATCGTCCTGGGTCCGACGTGCTCCTCTCCTGCTAGACCAGTCTTCCCAAACAATTGCTCCCTGTCTGGAAGCCTTATGCTACAATTACAGACCTCCCTAACAGAGCAGTGAGACCCTCCGTGGAATGGTCCCTGGCAGGCTCTCCCGAGCTGTTATCCATGATGTCGGCACAATAGGACTTCCCAAACTGATTCCACAGACCGCCAGTTCAATGGCATGTTACCTGGTGCTCTGTAGTAAAATGGGGAGGGGGCCCACCAAATAAATTGGTAAAACAAATCCAGCATTATAATTATATCCTGTCCTTGGGATTCACAATGCACTTAACCTCACTAAAGGCTCTGCTAAGTCCTGCAAAATTTTGTTTAACTTAGCATTTCCCAAGCACAGTGAACATCAAATCCCTTCCTGTGCATACCAAGCATGTTGAAGGTTTGGGAAACACTACTCTAGCTAAACTTCTCCCTTTTGCCAGGTTGGTCTATCGAACCCCAAATATGCCTTTTGAATTTCTCGTGGCATGGCTTTCCTTACGCCATTTCTCCTTCAGCCAAACTCTTCATTATCCTCTCTCTCCTTCTAAGCACTTCCAGCTCAAAGGTCACCTCCTTCCTGAAGCCCGCCGTGATGATCTCAGCTCAGACTGATATTGCTCTTTTGCTCACTTTAAAAGCACTTTTAGGCTGGGTTATTTGGTGTTTATTTACTGCCTCATAGTGTCCCCTTTTATGCTTCCCATGTTACTCTCTCCATCTTAACAGTTACAAAAGTAGCTCAGAAATCTCTCAGAAGGATTCGTGGTCTCCTTTCTACATCAAAAGGCACAATTATGAAAGCACACGAGTTTTGGAATAAAACAGCCATGCCAGTTGCGTTCCGGCTCACCAGCCGCCTGGCGGTAAGCAGGTTGCTCAGCCTCAGTTTGTCTGAGTTTTCTCACCTGTGAAACTCCTTGTTGTGAAGACTGAATGAGACCATGTACAGTATCTGACAGACTGTAAACAGTCAGTGCACATCAGCTATTCATAATCTAATCATCATCGTTGTCCTCATTTACTACGGCTATAAAAATAATTCTCCTCTATTTGTTCTATCAATACTCTGATATTCTGGCATCCGAAGAGGCCACCTCTCTCTTTGCGAAGGCAGAGGAAGGTACATCAAGTACACCCATTGCCTGGTCTGCTGCCCAGAGATGGAAGGCCCGTGGCTATAACAGCCAGGCTCCCTGGACTTTCTGGTCCATCCGGATTGTAATTAATAGTAAATCTTATCAGCAAACAAGGACATCCCCCAGTGCGTCTGATATCTGGTTCATTGCAAATGCTATGCATTGTGGGAGGAGGTGTTTGGTCCTCACCTGTGGCTGACTTGCCTGTCTGGTCTGCACGGCCCGGATGTTCAGGGCACCCACAGCTGTCAGTCAGTGGCTAGGCCAAATCAGCATTTTATTTGCTTTAGGTGTGGTGTCTCTTGAATCTCGGCATGTGATCATCTCTGATATGATAGTTTAGCAAAAGGAAATGTCAAGGGTCCTTTTATCTTTAACATAGTACATTTATGGGAATTAAGAAAAAGCAGCAATATCTAGGCATATGTATTTTTTCATTCCCCAAATGTTTATTGAGCACCTACTGTGTGCTGGGCACAGTTATAGGCGGCTGTGATACAACAGTAAACAAGAGACAGACATCGCTATTATAATGGGAG